AAAAAAAAAAAAAAAAAAAAAAAAAGAAAGCTCGGGGCAGGATTTCCAAATGGGGTTTTGACAGGCAAAATACAGGATTCTGACAGGTTACAGGTGCAGAACATAAGTTAGTCATAATGACGCCCTGAAACGAAGACATGACTGCAAGGTGGTCATAACAGGGTAGTCAAAACAACCTTTTGAAACAGGGTAGGTGTGGCAAGATGGTCATATCTTTTTGAAAGAAAGAAAGAGTTGATATGGAACATCTACTATATAACAATTTTTAATTAAGGTTACAGGTGAGGCATAGCCCAGACCTTAAGAAACAGAAGTTTAATCATAAACAGGAATGAACCTGGTTTGTCTTTACTATAAGATGCAGGCTGGTTCATCAGTTCTCAAAAATCTCACTTAAACCTACGTATTTCTGCCAGGCATTGCCTCCAAATGCCATCCTATTAGTGGGTAGGGCTTCAACTCATGTACTCGGGGTAGACACAGTGATTTAGTTCCATGTTGTATTCAGTACCAAATTGTACCCTCTGAGGTTTTATAATCAAGTGAAGTACTTACAAGAGGCCTGGCTCATACAGTTCACGAGCAGGCACTGTATTAAAGGGACAGGCCAGATGTAGTGGATCTCTGGCCCTTTGGGATCTGGAGACAGAGGAAGAAGCATGCTCATATAAATGCTTGTGACACAAAGTGTAAACTTGAAAGGACCTGGGAGAATCTAAATGGAGGATCAGGAAAACCTTTCAAGGACTGATGTTTGAGACAGGATCTGAAGGAGCCCTGGTAAGAGGAAAATTCCAGGTTCCAAAGTGAATCTTAGTGTACAAAAAGGCAGCAAGACAGAGACTTTTGATGAGTCGTCGAAGAGAAGCTTCATGGAAAAATGACATGTTCCTCTGGTTGGCATAGGCCACCTGATCAGAAAACAGGAAATACCTTTAGAGTTTTATTTTTATTTTTGGATTTTCGAGACAGTTTCTCTGTGTAGCCCTGGTTGTCCTTGAACTCAGAGAAATGCCTGCCTCTGCCTCCGTAGGGCTAAGATTAAAGGAGCGTTACCTACTGACCTTTACAGTTTAAGGTAGTGGCAAGATGAATTCTGTGTTTGGCAAGGAGAAAAAGAAAACTTTCTTTTTTTTTTAATTTATTTTTTAAAGATTTCTGTCTCTTC